AAACCCCGTTCTCTACCTAAAAAATTCCAAAAAAAAACTAGGCGCGGTCGAGGCAAGCTGGCGCCTGTAGCCCAGCTTACTCTGGGAGGCTGAGGCAGGACAATGCGTACTGAGGCAGGAGAATGGCGTAAACCCGGGGGGCGGAGCTTGCAGTGAGCTGAGATCCGGCCACTGCACTCCAGCCCGGGCGACAGAGCCAGACTCCGTCTCAAAAAAAAATAAAATAAAATAAAATAAATGTGGATTATGTGCAGTGCATGGTGGTAGATCTGTATGGTATAAAAAGGGACGGTTTGTGCCCTCTAAGAAGCCCCTGCCCAGATGAGCAGCAAGCAGGAATCACGTGCCAGTCTTCAGACGAAAGGCACAGAGGAGACATCGGAGAGCGTAGGGACAGCAAATATTCTCCAGGCAGCTCTGGCTGCCACGCAGGTCCCAGATTGGGGAGGTTCCTTAGCACTGAGTGTGCCCTGAATGTGTCTGTGGGGATGCCTGCCTCACACCTTCTCCCTCTGTGCTGCAGATGAAGATGCCTTCTAAGAAGTTTGGACACATCCCTGTCTACACACTGGGCTTTGAGAGTCCTCAGAGGGTATCAGCTGCCAAAACCACGCCAATCCAGAGAAGAGACATCTTTCAGTGCGTTCTTTGCCTTGTGCTGAGTCGCTGTGGTGGTCCAGCGTGAACAGGAACTTGGGAGCTGGGGTGGAGGGGCTGGCTTTGTCTCTGTGTGCTAGGACACCCCAAGGAAATGGAAATCCAAGGCAGAGACAGATCATTTTGTAGGGCTCTGGGAGGCTGAGTTGTATGAGATGGAAACTGGCCTCAGGTGGTCAGGGAAGAGTCTTTGCTGAGACGAACGCTGCTAGCTGTGTTTGTTGCCTGAGGGCCAAGGGGAGGCCTAGGGTGAAAGGCAGCCAGGAGGGGGCTGTGGGATGCACAGTTAGGAGGGGTGTTGCACTCTGGCTGGCTCCTCTGCCTGACTGCCCTCTCCCGCCCCCTAGATCTCTGCAAGGGCCACAGTGGCAGAGCGTGGAGGAGGCGTTCCCCCACATCTACGCCCACGGCTGTGTCCTGAAGGATGTCTGCAGTGAGTGCACCAGCTTTGTGGCCGACGTGGTGCGTTCCAGCCGCAAGAGCGTGGACGTCCTCAACACTACGCCACGACGCAGTCGCCAGACCCAATCCCTCTACATCCCTAACACCAGGACTCTTGACTTCAAGTGACAGCCCCAGCAGGCCAGGCCTCCAGGAGGCACCAGGCAGGCCCTGTACCAGGCTAGGATGCTCTCAGCTGTGCATGTACATATATACATATATAGATACATTTATAATATATATACACAGCCTATATATTTATATACACCGTTTCCTGGCCCCAGAGCTCATTTGGGTTCAGGCGCACTTCAGAACCCTCCCTGGGGGAGGCTGTTTCTTCTCAGGATTCCTTGCCAGGGAGGAAGGGGAGGGAGGGGGTGGGTTTTCTCACTGAGGGGAGAGAGCAGAAGGTTCTAGATCCCGGCACAGACTGCATCCCATGTTCCCATTCTCTTCTCCATCCCCAGGAATGAGAACAGCAGCTTTCCCTCCGCAGTGAACGTCTAGGTGGGGATAGGGTATCTTGGCTCCCAGCTGGACCAGAGCGCCCTGCCTGCCTCTGCTCTCCCTTTGTGGGCACTCGGGCAGCAGAAGCACCTGGAAGTCTCTGAGTGGGCGGGGTCCCCGTGAGAGGCACCCCCCGCCTCTGTTTGAAAGGTCTGGCCAGGCTCACGCCTATAATCCCAGCACGTGTTGGAGGCTGAGAGGAGATTCACCTGAGGTCAGGAGTTTGAGACCAGCCTGGCCAACATGATGAAATTTCGTCTGCTTACTGAAAATGCAAAATTAGCAGCTAGTGGCAGTGCCTGTAGATCCAGCTACATGAGGGAGGGCTGAGGGGTAGGAGGAATCACCTTGAACCCATGAGGCAGAGCTTGCGTGAGCTGAGACTGGCACTGCAGCATCCGGGCCTGGGGGCAACAGAGGGAGACTCCGTCTCAAAAAAAAAAAAAAAAAAAAAATCTGTGCCACGGCTGCTTCCCTGCCCTTTCCCTGGGGTCCAAACCATCATCTGGTCCTGCCCCTCCTCCCCTCCCACTCTCTGGTGCTGTTCATCAACTCGCTCTGGCCCAGAGGGCTTCCTGAAGACGCTGGGTGGCCCAGTACAGTGGAGGAGCGGCTGTCAATCTGTGCACGTGGCACTCTTGGCCTAATAAACGATGTCTCACAGTCTTCTGTCTGGGATGTGCACTGAGGATTCACCCAGACATGGCAGTGGGCATGGATTCTCCGAAAGGCTGGAGCTGGGGCTGGAGGGGCCACCTGCCCCTCCAGGACGAGGAAAAGGCCAGTCAGGTGCCCACCAGGGTGAGAGCTCCAGGGCCTGTTCTGTCCGTGCAGCCCTGGCTGGCGTCTACCAGCTTCGTGGCCTGCCACCTCAGTCAGGGCTGCCATCGCGACAGTACAGAATGCCATAGCTCCTCTGGCCACGCGCTGCTGGCCTGCTGGGGGCGCTTTGGTCTTCCATTTCCCAGATCCCTATTGTTCTTCAGGGTGAGGCTCCCAGTGGAGTGTGACTGCAGGCTCTAGACGGCCCTGTGCTGAGTGCTGTCTGCTCACCTGTGCCCGGCTCCGCCTCTTACAGGGCCCTGCCCTGCTCCTCCGTGAGGTTCTGCCATCTTCACCTTTCAGATGAGGGAACTGAGGCTCACGAGGTGAAAGAATTTGGCCAAGATACAGCCGACCCAGGAACTTTGACTCCAGGCTAAAATGACTGGCCGTGGGCCTGGAGGTCAGGAGGGACGCTGACTGCAACAGAATGGCCTGTCGAAGGAAAATACTCAGACAGGCTGGGAGTCCAGGGAACCAAACACGCAAAATTGAGAGCCCCCAGTAAAATAGCAGCTTTCGGGCCAGGCCGGTGGCTCCAGCCTGTTAATCCAGGCACTTTGGGAGGGCGAGACGGGCCGGTAATACGAGGTAGGAATCGCACGACCCATCCTGCACTAAAACACGGTGAAACCGCGTCTCTACTAAAAACATACAAAAACTTAAGCGTGAGGTGGCGGGCCTGTAGCCCACGCTACTCCAGATGGCTTAGGCAGGAGAATGGCGTGAACCCGGGAGGCGGAGCTTGCAGTGAGCCGAGATCGCGCCACTGCACTCCAGCGTGGGGCACAGAGCAAGACTCCGTCTCAAAAAAAAAAAAAAAAAAAAAAGCCAGCTTCTAGCACATGTGTAAGTACTTCATGGACTCTCTGGCCTATATTTTTATTCCTGTTTAAAAATAAGAAGATGCACAGAGAGGGTCAGCAATCTCCTCTGGTCACACAGCCAGCAATAAGCTACTGTGTAGTGCTTGGTAAGGACGACTGTTGTTCTGGTTCTACGGGGCTCACGCTGCCTGTCATGGGGAGACTGGGTTCTAATTCACACAGCAACACTTGGAAATGAAAGCCCACGTTAAAACCCTAACCAGTGCTGGGCGCAGTGTTCACGCCTGTACTCCCAGCACTTTGGAGGGTGAGGCAGGCGGATCACTTGAGGTCAGGAGTTTGAGACCAGCCTGGTCAACATGGTGAAACCCCAGCTGTACTAAAAGTACAAAAATTAGCCGGGCATGGTGACGCATGCCTGTAGTCCCAGCTACTCGGGAAGCTGAGGCAGGAGAACTGCTTGAGCCTGGGAGATGGAGGTTGCAGTGAGCCGAGATCGCGCCACTGCACACCAGCCTGGGAAACAGAGCAAGACGCCATCTCAGAAAATAAAATAAAACCCTAACACCCTAACCCATCCTGGGAGGGGCCAGGCCGGCCCACCAGGGCTGCTTCCTGGGTTCATGAAGCCGCAGTAAGTTGAGCAGCAGGCTGCTGGTACCTGTCTTCTCTGTGCCCTCCTGCCCCCGTGTCCCCAACCCCCGGCACAGGAAGCTGTGCCATCCGCCCACTGAACCGAGCCCTATCTCAGCCTCAACTACTTTATTTTTGTTTTTCTTTTTTCTGAGACAGGGTCTGGCTCTGTGGCCCAGACTGGAGTGCAGTGTCACGATCTCGGCTCACTGCAGCCTCAGCCTCCCGAGTAGCTGGGATGACAGGCGTGCCCGGCCACACCCGGCTCATTTTTGTATTTTTAGTAGAGACTGTTTCACCATGTTGCCCACGCTGGTCTCGAACTCCTGACCTCAGGTGATCCGCCCACCTCGGCCTCCCATAGTGCTGGGATTACAAGCGCCAGCACCGCGCCCGGCCCTTAGATCGTGACAAACGCGGGCGGCCTGTCCTGGAACTGCTCAGAACCACTGTCGCTAACGAGGCCTCAGGCGGGCAGCGAGGGCCGCGTCCCTCACTGGTGCCCGAGGGGCGGCGGCTTCAGGCCAGGGCAGAGGTGGGCATCGACGGCTAGATCACTCGAATGACACCGTGACACGAAAAGACCAACTAGCAGCGTCCGGGACGCAGCTGAAATGCTCCAGGCTCGGAGCGGGGACAGCCCCTGGCGGGTGGCCCTGGCGGGCCGAACGCGGCTGCGGGTTCCGGACCACACGGATGGGCAAGGCCGGGCAGGACCGACTGTCGCCGGCTGCGCGCCTCTTACCCCGCATCAAAGCCCGTCATCCCCGCGAGGCACCTCGCCAAGCCAGAGGCCCACGGCGCGCAGGCACCCGGCTTTCCCGAGACCTGGCCCGGACCCACCGGCGCCCGCCCAGTCGGCGCGGCTGAGGCGGGGAAGTTCCGGTGAGTCGCAACGCGCAGGCGCCGCACGCCAGGCCCCGCCCCCAGCCCGCGCGCCAGGAGTGCGCAGGCGCCACAGCCAGCTCCCCCGCCCCCCCCCCCCCCCCCCCCCCCCCCCCCCCCCCCCCCCCCCCCCCCCCCCCCCCCCCCCCGCGCCAGGAGTGCGCAGGCGCCACAGCCAGCTCCCCCGCCCCCCCCGCGCCAGGAGTGCGCAGGCGCCACAGCCAGCTCCCCCGCCCCCCACCCGCGCCAGGAGTGCGCAGGCGCGCCGACCGCCGAGTTTTCTGCGCTTCCTTCTCCCTCTCTCCAGACGTCCTGGTCGTTCGGTCCTATGTCGCGCCGGGCCCTCCGGAGGCTGAGGGGGGAACAGCGCGGCCAGGAGCCCATCGGGCCCAGCGCCCTGCAGTTCGACCTCCGTGATGACGATGACGCGGAAGAAGAAGGGCCCAAGCCGGAGCTGGGTGTCCGGCGCCCCGGGGGCGCAGGGAAGGAGGGCGTCCGAGTCAACAACCGCTTCGAGCTGGTGAGGAGCGCGGCGACCCGGGTGGGGGCGGGGTGGCCCGTGACGTCGCGGGGCGGGACGAGCGTCCGGTCGGGTCGGGGAGCGGGGGGTCGTCATGCCAGGGGTAGGTTTGGTGACGTGGGTCCCGGCTGCAGTGGGGAGGGCGGGGCCGTGCGTCGGGGCCGGGACGACGCGGGTGGGCGGTGGCGTGAGGTCAGGACGGCGGGCCGCGGCGTTAAATTGTGTTCTAACCCCGGTGAGGTGGGCGGGGCAAAGAGATGGGGCGGGGCCATGTCGTCGGGGCGGGGCGACCGAATGGGCGGGGTTAAGCGGGGTCCGGGCTGTGGGGAGGGCGGGGCCTTAATGCCAAGGGCGTGACCAACGTCAGCGGGGCCGGGCCACGATGTGGGCGGGGTTAAACGGGCCTGCAGCCAGGTGGCTGTCGTGGGGCCATGACGCTACAGGGCGTGGCTAAGGACACGAGGGCGAGGCGATGGCATGGGCGGGGTTAAATGGGGCCTGGGGCCACCGTGGGGATGGGGCCTTGGTGTAGGGGCAAGAGTGGGGTTCTCTCAGTTCCGGAGTTGAGGACTTGCCAGGCCTCTGCGAGCATTCTCCTTTAATCCTCGCAACAACCCTGCCTAACCCAGGACCTTGCTCTTCTCCGCTGCATCCCCATCGGCCTAACCCAGTGGGTTAGTCTTACTCTTGGTTGCATCTCCGGCAGCACGTTTCTGGCACGGGGAAGTAACCAGTTTGACTGCATGGTTTGCACATGTGGTCCTGTGCCGTTTTCTCCTAAGCCCTGGCCTCCGTCTGTAACTCTGCCTCTGCGGACTCTGCGATCCTCCCACCTCAGCCTCCTGGGTATCTAGGACTACGGGTGGGTGTCACCATGCCAGGCTAATTTTTTTTTTTTTTTTGTAGAGACGAGGTTTCACCTTGTTGCCCAGGCACGTCTAGAACTCCTGCGCTCAAACAGTCTGTTCACCTCAGCCTCACAAAGTGCTGGAACTACAGGCGTGAGTCACCATGCTTGGTTGACTGCCCTTCTCACATCAATTCCACCTTTACGGGTCCGCAAGACCACCGTCAAGGTTCAATAATTCGCTAGATTCACAGCAGTTACTGAAAGTTTTTTTTTTTTTTTTTTTTTGAGATGGAATCTTGCCCTGTTGCCCAGGCTGAAGTGCACTGGCACAATCCTAGCTCACTGCAACCTTGAACTCCTGGGCTCAAATAATCCTCTCACCTTGGCCTCTGAAAATGTTGGCATTACAGGCATGAGCCACTGTGCTTGGCCCCATAAGTCTTTTTACATTTTTGTCAATATAATTTGTCAAAAATGATATCACATTATTTTATTTTACACTTCTTTGTTAGTGAAATGCAGCACCTAGCTATATACTCGTTGACCATTTATGTTTCTCTTTGTGACAACCTGTTTATATCCTTTGCCTTTTTATAGGAGTTTAAACAATCTTTTTGTTCGTGAAAGCTTGCTATCAATTGTCTTTAACGTATTTTCTCAGTTTGTTCTTTAAATTCTTTTTTTTTTTTTTTTTTTTTTTTTGAGACGGAGTGTCACTCTGTCGCCCGGGCTGGAGTGCAGTGGCCGGATCTCAGCTCACTGCAAGCTCCGCCTCCCGGGTTTACGCCATCTCCTGCCTCAGCCTCCCAAGTAACTGGGACTACAGGCGCCCGCCACCTCGTCCGGCGTAGTGTTTGTATTTTTTAGTAGAGACGGGGTTTCACCGGGGTTAGCCAGGATGGTGTCTCTCTGACCTCGTGATCCGGCTGTCTCGGCCTCCCAAAGTGCTGGGATTACAGGCTTGAGCCACCGCGCCCGGCCTCTTTAAATTCTTTTTTTTTTTTTTTTTTTGAGACAGATTCTCGCTCTGTCGCCCAGGCTGGAGTGCAGTGGCCGGATCTCAGCTCACTGCAAGCTCCGCCTCCCGGTTTACGCCATTCTCCGGGCCTCAGGCCTCCCCGAGTACTGGACTACAGGCGGGCCCGCCACCTCGCCCGGCTAGTTTTTTTGTATTTTTTAGTAGAGACGGGGTTTCACCGTGTTAGCCAGGATGGTCTCAGATCTCCTGACCTCGTGATGCCGCCCGTCTCGGGCCCAAAGTGCTGGGATTACAGGCTTGAGCCACCGCGCCGGCCTAAATTCTTTAATTTTGCTTGCTGAAAGATACCGGAGCCACTTTTCTCACTGTTACACATCCATCTCTCTATGGTGTCTTCACATAGATCTTCCTGACGGTGATCCTCCTGCCTCAGCCTCCTGAGCAGCTGGGACTACAGCATACCCTACTGTGCTCAGCTTGTTCTTTTAATGCTTTTTTGTTTTTTCTATTTAAATATTTAATCTTTTTGGTATTTATATTGTGTTGGTGGGAATTGGGAAACAGTGTGGTTCATGAGTTGACAGAATAAGAGTCCGTAAGGTCAGAACCACACACCCACCTTTTGGACTTTCTGGAATGAGTTTGGAGTGTCAGTAACACCAACAGCCTCCGTGGATGAGCGTCTGCTTATCATGCTTGTGTTCTTAGGAATTCAAAAACTTTTATCAATTGGCCACATCGATCTCAATTTAAGCATTCTATACTTTTTTGCCCTTACAACTCATATTTGGAAATAATATAATAGAAATGTTTATTGGCGTTCTGTTAAATAGCTCTTAATAAACAGAAGTATGAGACACATTAAACAGCCACTTAGGACTGAATGGTTTTGAATGTGAACGCATCAGTGAGAGACATGGTGTGTCTCTCTTTTCAAATTTTATTTATTCAGAGACAAGATCTCTTTATGTTACCTGGGTTGGTCTTGAACTCCTGGGCTCAATGGATCCTTCCACCTTGGCCTCCCAAAGTGCTGGGATTACAGCTCCCAGTACTTTGGGAGGCAGAGGTGGGCAGATCACCTGAGGTCAGGAGTTCGAGACCAGCCTGGCCAATATGGTGAAACTCCATCTCTACTAAGAATACAAAAAATTGGCCGGGCGCACCAGTGGCTCCATGCCTGTAATCCCAGCACTTTGGGAGGCCGAGGCAGGCGGATCACAAGGTCAGGAGATCGAGACCATCCTGGCTAACACGGTGAAACCTCGTCTCTACGAAAAAAATACAAAAAATTAGCCGGTGTGGTGGCGGGCCGCCTGTATCCCAGCTACTCAGGAGCTGAGGAGAGAAATGGCGTGAACTGGAGCCAGAGCTTGCAGTGAGCTGAGATCTGCACCACTGCACCTCCAGCCTGGATGACAGAGCTAGACTCGTCCTGAAACAAATAAGTACAAAAATTAGCCAGGCAGGTGGTGGGTGCCTGTATAATGCCAGCTTACTCGGGAGGCCTGAGAGGAGAATTGCTTGAACCCCAGGAGGTGCGGTTGCAATGAACTGCGATTCGTGTGCCACTAGACTCGCTAGCCCTGGGTGACAAAGAGAGATTCTGTCTCAAAAAAGATAAATAACAAATAATAACAATATTTGGTTTGTCTATTTCTTACATCAAACTGTGTCTGTTTTGCTGTGTGTGGGTACGTGTGTTTTTGGTTTTTTAGAGACATTGGTCTCGCTCTATGCCACTGGAGTTCAGTGTCACAATTATACGTCTCACTGTAAACCTCGACTTTTGGGCTCAAATCATCCTCCATCCTCAGCCTTCACCGAGTAGCTAGAACTACCAGGCGCGTGTCACCACAGACCTGAGCTCATGGTTCTTCAATTCTTTTTGGAATAAGCCACGTGTGCTGGATATAGGAGGTGAGCTACCAGGCCTGGCCTAGAATATTTTTTGAACCTGATTGGTAAACGAAAATAACAGCTATCAAAATTTGTGGGATGCACTGAAACGATGGTTAGAAACTTTTAATGTGTAAATTTAAATTAGAAGTGTTTAAAGAATCAGAAATTTACCCTAACTTCTTACCTTAAACTAGAAAAGAGCAAATTAAACTCAAATGTGTAAAGGTAAGAAAACTAATCAAAGAGAGGAAATGCATAGAATAGAATTATGGACAAAATGGACGAAAATGATAAAGTACCTAACACTTGTTCTCTCAGAAGTCAGTCTTGTACAGAACTTTAGATTGAACTGACGGAGGG